TCTGTGGTTATCTGTGGGTCTCTATGAGTCTCTGTGGTTCTACATGAGTCTCTGGATCTCTGTGGGTCTCTATGGGTCTCTGTGGTTCTACATGAGTCTCTGGATCTCTGTGGGTCTCTATGGGTCTCTGTGGTTCTACATGCGTCTGTGGATCTCTGTGGATCTCTGTATGGGTCTCTATGGTTCTATATGAGTCTGTGGATCTCTGTATGGGTCTCTATGGTTCTACATGAGTCTGTGGATCTATTTATGGGACCCTATGGTTCTACATGAATCTCTGTATCTCTGTATGGGTCTCTATGGTTCTACATGAGTCTGTGGATCTCTGTATGGGTCTCTATGGTTCTACATGAGTCTGTGGATCTTTGTATGGGTCTCTATGGTTCTATATGAGTCTCTGGATCTCTGTATGGGTTTCTATTGATCTCTGTGGTTCTACATCAGTCTGTGGATCTCTGTATGGGTCTCTGTGGTTCTATATGAGTCTGTGGGTCTCTATGGGTCTCTGTGGTTCTCTATGAGTCTCTGGATATCTGTATGGGTCTCTATGTGTGTGTGTATGGGGAGCGGTAGTGTAGTGGTTAGCGCGCTGCGCTACGAACCCGGCGACCCGGGTTCAATTCCCGCTCATGACAAACACCAGTGACGATTATCTAAACCGGTCCTGGGCCTCCCCTAGGTCGACTCAGCCTCAAATGAGTACCTGGTGCGGTGTGTAAACATCGCCGCTCGGGAGACAAAGGCGGCCGGGCGTGGTGTTGGCCACCCACCCCCTCGTGTACCGTGCTGGCCTTTATAGGTGCTCGCTAACAGCACTTGCCCCAACAGTCTGTTAAGGCTATACGGGGGATCTTTGTCTTTATGTTTGTGTATGTGTGACCTTCATGATGGTGAGCGGGCCCGGGTAAAATTCGTGGCCGGGAGGCAGAGCCTTTCCCTGTTCACCTTGGGGTGCGACAGGGATATCCTCTGGCTCCCACATTATTTCACATCTATTTTGACCGCGTAGGTCGTGAAGCCTTCAATAGCTGTACCGGGGGAATTTCCATTTGGTACAGATATAATGGGAGGCTGATCGACGCCCGGGTGCGATCAAGGGATGGCTCCCTATTGGTCAACCACGTTATGTATGCCGATGATTTGGTAATATCTGCTCATTCAGAAGAGGAGTTGGAGACGCTGCTGCTGAGACTGGAGCATGCCACTAAGAGGTGGGGCCTTACCATCAGCCCCACCAAAACTAAGCACCTGCCTGGGTATTTTGTACCATCGGACACTCCACCCCCACAACTCCCAATCGGTGATGGGGCAGTAGTGGAGAGAGTGGAGAGTTTCCCATACCTGGGCAGTGTGCTTATGACCGGCTCCAGTTTAACAGCAGAGGTCTCACTCCGAATCAGTCGAGCGGCAATATCTTTTCATCGGTTGCGTAACGCTGTGTGGAAGCTACCTGGTCTGTCGCTCCGCACGAAGCTTCAGGTCTTCTCGACCACGGTCATTCCCTCCCTTCTCTACGCTTGCGAAACGTGGACCCCCCTAATGGAGCATCTTCGCCGGTTGGAAACATTTAGGCTGGCCTGCCTACGATCCAGCCTGGGTTTAACCAGGCTGGATTGTGTGAGGAGCTCACAAATCCTTGAAAGATCTGGGCAAAGTCCCATCGGTGAGCTCCTCCGGCAGGCAAGGCTGCATGCCCAGCTACCGCATGCCTAAACAGCTTTTGTTCGGCCGGATCGAGGGGGCTAGACGGGCGCGGCACGGGCTGGAGAAGAGATGGAGTGATGTGGTACAGGAGGACGTGGAGCTGAGTGGACTTGCCGATGACTGGTACCAGCGGTGTCAAGATCGGCCTCAGTGGAGGAGGCTCGTGAAGGACGCTACTGGGCAGTTGGAGGCAGTCGCCCTCCAACAACAACGGAGGGCGGAGGAGCGACGCTCACAACAACGAGCGGAGCGCCGGGTGGCTAAAGCACAGCAAGTTGGCACAGTAGGGGGCACAGGTGGTGCATCAGCCAGTCATCTCGGTCATCTCGGTCAGTCGACCAGTGGCACCTGGGTCTGCCCCGTGACCTCCTGCCAGCGGGCTTTCGACACTTCACGTGGCCTCAAGGTGCACTTGGCCTGGCACAAGCATCGTGGTGACGTCACCGCCACTTAGTGGCGAATGGCGGTTGTTGTTGTTGTTGTTGTATGTATGTGTGTATGTATGTGTGTGTGAGTTACCACTGCAGTGCCTAACGGCCTACAGGAACCTTCTTCTCCCGCACTGCCCCTTGGCAGCTCCTGCTGCTGCTGCTGAGGTCGCGGCCACTGCTGGTGACACGGCGGTGGTGGTGGTGGGGAGGGAGGGGTGGGTGTAGTGGTGGTGGGGAGGGTGTGGTGGTGGGGAGGGAGGGGTGGGTGGGTGTGTGTGGTGGTGGTGGTGGGGAGGGAGGGGTGTGTGTGGTGGTGGTGGTGGGGAGTGAGTGAGGGGTGTGGTGGTGGTGTAGGTCTATGAGTTTGGGTCTCCATGAGTCTCTATAGATCTCTGTGAGTTGCTGTGGGTCTCTATGAGTATGGGTCTCTGTGAGTTGCTGTGGGTTTCTATGGTTCTATATGAGTCTATGGATTTCTGTGGGTCTCTATGGGTCTCTATGAGTATGGGTCTCTGTGGGTCTCTGTGAGTTGCTGTGGGTTTCTATGGTTCTATATGAGTCTGGATCTCTGTGGGTCTCTATGAGTGTGGGTCTCTGTGTGTCTCTGTGGGTCTCTGTGAGTATGGGTCTCTGTGTGTCTTTGTGGGTCTCTATGAGTGTGGGTCTCTGTGTGTCTCTATGGTTCTTTACGAGTGTCTGGATCTCTGTGGGTCTCTATGTGGGTCTCTATGGGTATGGGTCTCTGTGTGAGTCTCTATGAGTATGGGTCTCTGTGGGTCTCTATGGGTCTCTATGGGTCTCTGTGTGTCTCTGTGGGTCTCTGAGTATGGGTCTCTGTGTGTCTTTGTGGGTCTCTATGAGTGTGGGTATCTATGGGTCTCTATGAGTCTCTGGATCTCTGTGGGTCTCTATGTGTCTCTATGGGTCTCTATGAATCTCTGGATCTCTGTGGATCTCTATGGGTCTCTGTGGGTCTCTGTGGGTCTCTGTGGTTCTTTACGAGTCTCTGGATCTCTGTGGGTCTCTATGGGTCTCTATGAGTCTCTGGATCTCTGTGGGTCTCTATGGGTCTCTATGAGTCTCTGGATCTCTGTGGGTCTCTATGGGTCTCTATGAGTCTCTGAATCTCTGTGGGTCTCTATGGGTCTCTATGAGTGTCTGGATCTCTGTGGGTCTCTATGGGTCTCTATGAGTCTCTCGATCTCTGTGGGTCTCTATGGGTCTCTATGAGTGTCTGGATCTCTGTGGGTCTCTATGGGTCTCTATGGGTCTCTATGAGTCTCTGGATCTCTGTGGGTCTCTATGGGTCTCTATGGGTCTCTATGAGTCTCTGGATCTCTGTGGGTCTGTATGGGTCTCTATGGGTCTCTATGGGTCTCTATGAGTCTCTGGATCTCTGTGGGTCTCTATGGGTCTCTATGAGTCTCTGGGTCTCTGTGGGTCTCTATGGGTCTCTATGAGTCTCTGGATCTCTGTGGGTCTCTATGGGTCTCTGTGGGTCTCTATGAGTCTCTGGATCTCTGTGGGTCTCTATGGGTCTCTATGAGTCTCTGGATCTCTGTGGGTCTCTATGGGTCTCTATGAGTCTCTGGATCTCTGTGGGTCTCTATGGGTCTCTATGAGTCTCTGGATCTCTGTGGGTCTCTATGGGTCTCTATGAGTCTCTGGATCTCTGTGGGTCTCTATGGGTCTCTATGAGTGTCTGGATCTCTGTGGGTCTCTATGGGTCTCTATGAGTCTCTGGATCTCTGTGGGTCTCTATGGGTCTCTATGAGTGTCTGGATCTCTGTGGGTCTCTATGGGTCTCTATGGGTCTCTATGAGTGTCTGGATCTCTGTGGGTCTCTGTGGGTCTCTATGGGTCTCTATGAGTCTCTGGATCTCTGTGGGTCTGTATGGGTCTCTATGAGTCTCTGGATCTCTGTGGGTCTCTATGGGTCTCTATGAGTCTCTGGATCTCTGTGGGTCTCTATGGGTCTCTATGGGTCTCTATAAGTCTCTGGATCTCTGTGGGTCTCTATGGGTCTCTATGAGTCTCTGGATCTCTGTGGGTCTATGGGTCTCTATGAGTCTCTGGATCTCTGTGGGTCTCTATGGGTCTCTGTGGGTCTCTGTGGGTCTCTGTGGGTCTCTGTGGGTCTCTATGGGTCTGTGTGGAATCACCCCGTCGGTGTGTTTTAGCTGCTGCTTTACATTCCCACGCGATAATGACGATGGCAATCAGCCACTTGGGTTGGGCAGCTTTCATTCTTGATGCCCAGGTGGTCGCTTCTGATAAAGACCGATA